GTAGGTGACATTAGTAGTTCTTTGGCTCAATGGTGACCCCTGCTATCCACAGTCCAAAAGAACTGAAAGCAAATTTAGCCTCCATACACATGGCAAAATTAGATAGTTATGCATACTGTTTCTTTGAGGTCCCCCTTCAGTGGCACGTATGTTTCAAATAAAAAGTACAAGGTCCACACCAACTTCCATTTTTATAAAACAAAAATATTTTAAAGATCAGTTCCTAGGGGATGGGAAAGATCTCTGTCTAATACCAATCTGAGTGTGGACCAACTTTCCCCAACCAAGAGCATTCTAGATGGTTTGGACTACCCATCATTCTCCATCAAGTTTAAACAGTACTGGAGCAGCAGGTGTGATGGCCTGTCTAGGTACTGGATGGTTTTGTATGTTCATGTAAAACATTTTCCTTATTGTACCCCTCCTTGTGGCTATCTTTAGGGACAATGGATTCATCCTAGTTGGAATAAACAATTGCAATCAATAGGGCATATGCTTAAGTATGATTAAGTCTGGATCCAGCCATAAGTATATTCTAATGGGAGGAGTTTGCCATACATAAAAATAGCTTTTCTATAGATAGCACTAAAAATAAGAATCTGTTTCCAACTGGATCTAGTCAGATAGAATTGGCTTGTTTCCCTTTTGCTTTAACACTGGAGTATGTTTTCTAGTCTCAGTTTATAGGAAGCAACTTGGCCCAAATGCCTCTAAGGCAGAATAAGTCCTAGCTGGCAGCTATTATCTTTCTTTAATAGAAGTTTCTTTCCATCTCCCTGCTGCCACTGAAGTATTCTTTTTTAACTTGCCTGGGCTGAGTGAATTATAATGCGCACATTCCTGCTGTAGCATTTCTCATTGATTGCCCGGACTGGAGAGGGCTAGATTGATCAACAGCAGCCACAAGTGGCCCTGAACACGTCCAACAAACCATTCATTAATTCCGACTGATCTCGGAGTAGTAAGAGCTTGTCAAGAGTGCCGTTCCCCTCTTCCCCTTCTCCTCTTGCTGCCTTTCCCAGAGGTTTGAGCTGCAATCTCAAATTTAAATTCAACCTAAGCGGGCAATAAGATTGCTGCCCTAATCACTTTTGCTCCTAATTTTATGCAGACCTCAAGGACAACTGCTAAAATCATTAGAGCAAAACAGAGGCTTAATTATGTGTTCATTATAAACCCCCTTGCTGCTAATCTCGCTTCTTCCAAAACAGGGCTATGAAATCTTTACCATGGAAAGCTTCCTGGCAGTGAGTGAAGGAATTTATAAACAGCCAAACCCAAGTGTATTTGGCATTGTGCTTCTTAAGCTGAGGCTTGAAGGGTTGTTGTAGCACTTTTTCTGTCCACATAAGTTGTCAGACAAGTTACTACTCATCCAAGCATAGGCTTTTAAGATTGAACTATCTGTTGGATGTCCTTACAATATCTGGCTGCTCTCCAGCTGAACTGAATGACATTGCTGTGCTAATTGAGTGCAAAGTCTGAGATCTCTGATAACAGTCAAGTCCTTTGTAAAATTCCCTGCAAGTCTAATGCCTTTCTATCAGCAGAGGTCATTAGTTCTATTCTCATTGAAGAAACAGAACAAGTTAGTAGTGGGGAAAATCCAGGATGTTCAAAATCTGTCCCTTCCTTGCTCTTGCCCCCTTCCTTTGACAGATCCTGTGAGAATACTTTCAGATCTTCTGCCCATTTAAGATATTTACCTGCAACAGCTCCTGTATTGTTTTTGCAGCTTGCAGAAGGAGAAAGTTACTGTGGTCATGTCAGCCTCAAACAAATGGGACATTTTTACTGAACAGGAGTTCTGGAAGGATTTTTTCATTGCTAACTTTGATTTGGCTCATATAATTTCATTTCAGTTATTACATGTCTATACAACCCAATAATCAAAGCTCTCTGTCCGAAAATAACAGTCAGTCATCAGTCAGTCAGTTTTCCGTGGTGATTGAGCCTGCCTCGTCATCTGTATCCTTCCCCTCCCGATGCCTCCCTTTGTGCCTGGGTGGCCAACTCAGTCGCAAAAGTAGCAGCCCTCTCTGTGGGAACTTCTGAAATAGAGGAAATATGAACAAGTGTGCAGACCTGAGTGTCACTCCTCATTATACAGTACAAAAGTATAAAGGCACTGTAAGGACCATTAACCTGTTGAAAATAACAATAGCTGCAACTGTATCCTACTAGGACTGGGCTCTTCTCAGAGATAACCCTATGGGGTGCAATTGCATTCATTAAGTGCTCAATGGAAACATTAAGACTGCATGTGTGTTTGAATATGACTGAAGACCAGAAGCTGTTCAGAGATTTATGAGGTATTAATAGAAAATCTGGGAGGGATCTCAATGGCAAGCCAGGTAGGGTGTGTCAAGACACTGGACAGATCGCTGTGACAGCTATGGGCTAGCACTCACTCAAGAGGAGCTGTTGTTTCGACAATGTGCAGAGGCCTTCAGAGTCTTACGGCTGTTAACCTCCATCCATGCTGAAGCCTGGTCTGCTCCACTGTTTTAATTCTCAGCATCTGGCTGCTATGATGTGGAGGTAGTGAGTACTGTATTAGAGGAGTGCCCCCTGAGTCTAAGAAGTTGGTAAAATTGTATCCTTCTGTATGGAAAATCCCAGAATAGCAAATGCTGGGTAACTGGATGAAGCCTCTTCTCCTGTCTGATTGTCCCTCGGAACCAGAAGAGAGATCAGAAATACCATCTGAATGCTGCACTAAATTGTAATTAGAAGCATATGTATGATGGACACATATAAGCTTATAAATAAGATGTAATAGGTAACGTAAGTCAAAAGCTTTTTTCAAAAGTGTCTTTGCAAACTGTGCTTTCAAATCATATTTTTCCCCTAATGTGAACTTACACAAATAGACCCGTAGAACAAAAGCATCTAATCAAGGTTATCTGCCACTGACTTTTAATTAATCTGCTGTTGCCTATTTTAGCCTTGCCGTGTACTGATGTGAGGAACGGGCAGCAAGTAAATGCTATTATGAATATATCCACAAAGCTCACCTCCAAAAGATTCCCTGTATTCAGAATAGGTGTTGGAATTGGTTTCTGGAACAGTAATTTTAGGAGAAGATTTCTGTTAGCAGAGCACTATCAGGATAAAGTCATGCCGTGTACATGACTGAAGTTAGGCAACTTCAGAATAATGACATTGAGTTGGATCTGGATTTAGGCACATACATCTAGGTTGGCAAAAGAATTCTTCCCATACAACTTTGGGAAGTCCCCAGTAAATACCATACAAAGGGTTCGCTGATCATACTTAATGGGGATAGAGAAAATGCCCCCCAAATTAAGTTAATGCAACTCTCATGAATCAGGCCTTCCTTCAACAGGTCTGCTGTGCATACTTGTAAACAAGATGGCAAAGCGGTATTTGATAGAAACTTCTGTTGCTTGAAAGCTTAAAATGAAGGATGGAGGTCTTGACCAAAAAGGTGGTACTTTTCTCTTATTGACTGGTTAGAGTTAGACTTTAAGATACTAAGAACTTTGCATAGCATAGCTCTGCAGACTGTTACCTAAGGGCTTGTCAAGGCTTCTGCCTGTTACTTACAAAGTCACAGTTGTGCCTCATGTTAAGAGCGATTTAGACGAATCACATTCCACCATTATAAACAGAATTTGGGGGCAGTAGATTCTGTGGGTTATACTCAGAAAGTGGCCTGAAAGATTGTTCCAAAACATGGCAGTGTAGGAGAGGTCTGCTTAAGGAAGATCTGTGCTGATTTTAAAACATTTCCTTGTTAGAAATATGTGTGTTTCAAAAATGCCTGTTAAAGTGCCTCTATGCGAATTCTTACCTTTTAAAAACAGGATCCTAAAGAATGATGAAAGCAGAGGGTCACATTTGTTCCAGTTTAACAGTACTCTTGCATATGCTGATGGCCTTTGAAACTTTTTTTTCAGTTACAAAATCGATTTGTGAGATGGAATGGAATGTACAGATGCATGGCTAAATCCCACTGAATCTCAGCCCAGGAACATGTTTTTCTGCAGTGGTTAGCACAATTCATTATCTGTCAGCAACCCCTACGATGCATAGGTAGCCTGCATGTGACCAAGGCACATGTTATAGTAACAGAACTGCTTTCTTCAGGAAAGTGTTGCCTTCCAGTCTTGCAAGATTGTGTCATAGATAGCTCAGAATGCGCAAGAGAGAAGCTGTGTAATATATGAAATGCGATGTACCTACATGTATGATAAACATTATGCTAGTCACACCTCCATATTTTCTTCAGGATTTTCATCTCCCAGCATTCGAAACTGTTGTTAGTATCCATTTAATATCACAGCAGCTGATGAGGACAGAAGCTCGAATGTTTAGCTCTAAATATATTTTGAAACTACACTGTTGTTACTCTTTCATATGTGTGTGTGTGTGTATTGTGCACTCAGACATAGAGAAAAATTATATTGCAATAATCACCATATTTTGGTGTAATGAAATGAAGGAGCCATGCATACCCTCTAAGGGAGGAAATTCCAAATTATATCAATTTATTGGTGTAATACAATGGGTAAAGATTATCTTGTTGATTACAGAATAAAAGCATGGTGTACCCCACTGTAACATTAACCAGTACACAAATTTAATCTGTGTGCCTGGATCCTCATGTAACCAAAATGACACCATCCATATACAAGACGAAGGCATTAGAAGACTCATGGGAATGCCAGACTTTGCAGAAGTACACTATAACTTTACAGAAAGACTTCTAAGGGGGCAACCCTAACCAAATTGGCTAAGTAAAGCCTTGCATGCTTAGTTACTACAGAATATAAACTGACAGTGAGGAGAAGAGAATGAAAAACATGTGGGGGGTAGAGAATGGAATGGGCATGGGTGGCAATCTAGAACCTTGAACAAGAACACTTTAGACTACCACATTCTGTGAATAACAAGCTGCAGCGGCAACGTATTTTTGGATGATTCTTTCAATTTAGTTAACATCCCTTTAACTTTCTTATATCTTTGTCAAATAGGTGTGTTATATGAAATGGTCCAGAGCTTCCCTCGAGTAGAGGAGAATCTACGAGTGGATTCCTACAGATTTAGCCACAGATGGAAACGACATTCAGAATCTCTCAAGTCGGTCAACACCAACAGAGCCAGTGTGGGGCAGGACTCCTCAGAACCTGGAGGCTTTACTGACTTGCTGCTTGATGACACGCATGATAACACAACACAGATTGAGGTAGGACTTTTCTGTTCATAAGACACTCTGTGAATTAAGACATGGATTTTTGTCACAACTGCTGCATACTTTTTGGAACCCAGAGATACATATTCAAGAGATACGGCCTACAATATTAGGAATTATCTGCACCCTGAAATCACCCACAGAGGCCCTACTTTCTGACCTGCAGATACAACTACTTAGTCTTTCATGATACAAGCACAGCTTACAAATAAAAAAGATACAAGAATAAAATCTCCATGAGAAACATTAAAATTTAATGATTCGTAGGTACCTGCAATTCCACAGGGTAAGTTGCTGGTGAAAGAGTGGAAGGTATGTCCAGCTGGAGTGAGTTGTGACGCTGTGGTGTGAGTCCTTCCCTATCTATCTTCATCTGGCTTCTGGCTCTCTGAATCCTTTCCCTAGGGCCTTTAGTGATATTGCTCCTGTGGAGGAGAGGACGGCTCAGTTGAAGCAAGCCCTGAAGTTAAGAACCATCAAATTATTGGGTACCAGGAAAGTGGTTCCCTCTCTAAGTGAGAGCCAGTGTGGTAGAGTGTTAAGAGGCCTGTAGGTGGAAAAAGGAGATCTGGGTTCTAATCCCCACTCAGCCATAGTATCCACAAGGTGACTTTGGACCAGTCATTGCCTCTCACTTAACCTACCTCACAGGGTTATTGTTATGAGAATAATATGGAGAGAAGAACTTGGAAAGCCACCTTGTGTTCCTTGCAAGAGTAAGAAAGGTAGGATATACATGCAATATAATAATAAGTGCATGTTTACAATGTTTTTAATTGTCCTCAGCTTTTCATTGATTGGTTTATGCTGACTTGATATATCAGATGCTATGTAGTTGTTAATTTACTTATTTGTTTCATGTTTTGATTGCTACATTACTTGTATTCATTGTTCACTATATATGGATATGAAAACTGAAGAGTGGAGAAATCTGACAGGAAGAAAATTGATGACTTTGAAACATGGTGCTAGAGGTGAGCTTTGCAAATACCCCAGACCAACAGAAAAATGAACAAGTGAATCTTAGATCAAATCAAGCTGGAGCCTGACCCAGAAACAAAAATGCCAAAACTTAGGCTGTCGTACTTTGGGTACATCATGAGAAGGCAGCATTCCCTGGAGAAGGCAATCATGCTAGGGAACATTGAAAGCAAAAGAAGAAAAGGGAGGCCAGATACAAGATGGATTGACTCCATAAGTGAATCCACACTTGAATTTAGACTCAAGCCACTCTTGAATTTAGAAGAGCTGAGCAGGGCTGTCATGAATAGGACATTTTGGGGGACTTTCATTCATAGGGTTGCCTAAGTCAGGGACAGTTGGATGGCACATAACAACAATATTTATTCGTCATGATAAGCAAGCTTGTCAGGGTTATTTTGTAACAGGCAGAATATAAATACATTAACAAAGTAATAGATTTGTACTTGAATCAGTGATTCATGATTAAGTCAGCCAATAGCCCAAGGCATTTATTTATTTCTAGCACAGTTCTGTGCAGAAGTAAATGCCTGGGGGACCTACTCCCAAATCAGTGCGTACAGGATTGCTGCATTTGTTATTCATGTTAAGTACACAGGCTGCCTTTTGGTCCAAAGCTGCAGATAGCAAAGTAAAATACGCAGTTTAAAATAACATGAAACAGAAGAACAAGTTAAGCAGCAGAGAAGGAGGGGAAAAGACAGTCAAACCCAGATCAAACAAAAGCCTAGTTTGGACGGGGGGCGGCGGGGGCAAATAATCCAGCATTGAAGACCAATCAGAATAAGACATTCTTTACCACAATTAGCATAGAAAGCTAAGCCGTGTCTCTGCAGAAAGGGGCTTCTAGGGTCTTTGTGTTACAAGCAACGTTTTCTCTCTTGGACTCACCAGCAGACTGTTTCAGACTGTGTGGTGGTGTGCAGAACTTTCCCCAACAGCCTCAAGGTCTGGGCAGAATCACAAGGGAGCAGGTGACCCTTTAAAAACCCCAGCCCAAAACTATTCAGGAATCCAAAGGTAATAACATTTGACTTGGAAACAGCTAAGAGCCAGTACGGATCAAATAAAATCCAAACGACGTGATATGGATAGGAGCTCTCCATTAACCCTCTAGCGAACCACTATGAGCACCTTTCAAAGCCCCCACCCCAAAGGACCATGATGCAAGATACCAAGGAAACCACTGAATGCACAGATACAAAGGATCTATACAGAGTAGGAAGCACAATGCCATGTGGCAGTTTCAGAGTCTTATGTTTCATATCTGAAATTCAAGCCATAGTAATTTTTTTAATAGTATCATCGTTACTACTGTCCTTCAGTGCTGATCTTATTAATAGCCAGCGTTTCTCTCTGTCTCTGTGAAACAGAGTTGTTGGTTTGTCTGAGCCAGTTTTCTTTCAATGTATTTAAGATGCACAAGCAGCTGCTAGGAGAGGTGGGATCTCATCCTTGACTCACATGGCACAATTATGTTTTAATACACAAAATCAAAAATACAAACCAGCTCATCTCACCTGAATGAAATCATTGCAATTTCAGATGAGGAGTTTTAGCTGACAGAGAGTGGAAAGAGACTTACGGATTCAAATTACTATCATCTCAGACACAACTGATGGGAATTGCCTACAAGCTGAAATAATTCTCATGTATCTGTATGGGCCAATTGCCCCTTCTGTGTTTGTTGCATTAATGAATGCTGCTTGGAACCAAGGAATCTATTTTTTCTTCCTTGGCAAACTTCTCTATAAAACAAACGTAACCATAAATTGGATGCACACTGCATGAGCTCTGCCTTTCTTTTGACCTGGCTGCTGTGGAACATTAATAATAAATGCATGGCTTATGTTGTATCCTAAGTGGGAAGTCTCCACAATGGTTTTTTTCTTCTTCATTTGGCTTTCCCATAACCCTGCTTGAGATGCTACCCTTTTACCCAGTTTATAGCTAGCTAACTAAGGATAACAGACAGTGCCCAATCCATGTCTTCAAGGGCCTTTGGATGTGACATCTCTAATGGGCCCATCCCACAGTGAGTCTACCTTTTCACCAGCTGCTACTCTTTCCCCTCTCCCGTCCCCGCTGCATCACTGCTATCACCAGGATAAGCAAATAGCCAGTGAGCATGCAGGCAGCAGCATCTCCTGTTCCTCCTTCTCACCTTCACTGATGCCTCATCCAAGTGATCAAATCATTTGCAAAGAAAAGTGGCTCCAGTTTGTGGGCTCTGTGCGGCTATGATTCTCCCTGGTCTCAGCTTTGAGGTGATGTTTAAATGCGGCTCCTTTGGATTCAGGACACAGACTCTTTCAAAGTTCTTAAAATAAATTATGAATAAAATTGGGAAAGAATAGATATCTTCCTGTGGTGGTGAAAATATTTAGCATTCCTTGCCACACATTCCAAGCAAACAAATTCATTGACCATAGCAGTTTTTATCCCATCACTTTTCCTACCTTCACAGTGTCAATTTTCATAGTGTATTGGGTAAAAATACTAATTTGATATATCCCATCAGATCACAGTTGATCAACTGTTCTGCCTGGCCTGCTTGGTAAGGCAGAGGCTTAACTTTCATCTAGTTCCTTAATAAAATTGCTTTGATATATTTTACATAGTATTTGCTTCTGATTGTTTGGAAGGAAATCACAGGTACATCTGCAAAGTATTTGTAGTGGAACTTTTTATAACTCATCTGGAGCCAATCTGTTGTGTCTTGCTTCACTTTGCAAAGTCTGTTGAACTGTATAAAAACTGGGTTGGTATAATATGGTGCTATTGGACAGGAGTGTGCTGACAAATTGAGGGCAGGCACTGTTTTCTCCCTTGAGAAGGGTGACGACTCATTGCTAGAGCACTTTTTTTTATGCAGAAGGCCCCAGGCTCAAAATCTAGGTAAAGATAAAAGAGAAAAAAACTTGCCTAAAATCCTGGAAAGCTGTTACTAGTCAGTATTGATAATACTGGGCTAGATGGACCAGCAGTCTGATTCATATAAGGCAGCTCCCTATGTTCCTGTATGTCACAGCCTTAACACGGTACAAAAATAAAACATGCATGCCTATGTTAGGATTGGTGTTATGATCAAGTGTCAAAAGAACAGAAAGCATAAATAAGATAAAAGTTAGATATGGTAACAGTCATAACTAGTCCAGCATCCTGCTTTCATAGTGGCCAGCCAGATGCCTGATGGAAGCCCAGAAGTAGGGCATGAGTTTTACTCTGATTTAAAATTATTTTTAGGCCTGTACTGAAAGGTATATCTCTTCCAATTACGCCTTCCTGCTGCTGTTCCCAAGCAATTGGTGCTGATTCCTGGAGGTATCACCTGGCTGCCATGACACATAGCCATTGTCAGTCTTACCCTCCCATGAATTAGTCTACTCTAGAATTGGTGTCCATCACCACATTGTATGATGCCTAGAGAAAGTGCTTCCTTTTATCTGTCCTGAATTTTGCTAGCTATCATTTGATGGTGGTCGGATAAGTAGGTCTTAAATAAAACAAAAGTTATTTTTAAAGATTTTCATTATGGAATTCGTTGTTGGCAAGAGCAGGATAGAGGGATACTTTTCTTCTGGCCCTTCAACAGTCAGGAATCAAACTTAGCATCATAACAACAGTTTGCTCTCTGGTATAAGTGCAAGGAAGACAAGCATTTGCCACCAGTAGTCATTCCTTGGGATCACTCATGACCTTGTCTTGCTTGCTGCAGAATCCTGGGTGCCCCCTCTCCCCCCTCCCCCGGCTGCAGTCTGTTCTGTCTCTGGACAGTGGTCTAGAGGAAAAATGACTGTTGACTGAACCAGACTAGAAATAGTATACCCCCGTGAAGTCGCGCTTCAGCATTTGTGGCTTCAGTCTTACACAGGATTTTTCTCTGAGCGAGTCCAAGCCAATCTCCTTGCGAGTAAGCCAGCACCTCGCCATGCAGCGGCTTACTTGCAAGGACCTGTTTCCTCCAAGTTTGGACTCGCTTGGAGAAAATGATCTCTGTGCGCGCGCGCCCT